GACCGCGTGATCCTCACTGTGCCTGGTTGGAGACACTACAAGATATGGCTTCCAACCGATGTCAGTGGCGTTCTTGTTGTCAGTTTCTATCCACATTGCCTGGGTGAATGTCTGGAGGTGTAGGCACCTCGGAATGATTGTGGTAAGCTAGCACCAAGTCCCTTCCCCGTCCACCATTTACTCCTTTCTTTACAATAAGGCATCCAAATAAATCACGGTTGTACGGCAGTGAAGCATCAGTGTTGAACACTGATGTCATGCTGTCGATGATGATGATGATGCCTGGACAGTTGTATAAGTTCCGGCGGAGTGGCTGAAGACTAGTTTGCTTCTCGAATTGGGAGAGCCAAGGCAACTTTCGCCAACCTCCGACACCCAAAGCGCCGACTTGACGTCAGTTTGTCTATCAAGGACAGAGTTTACACTACAGTAGTGCGATCCATACTGTTTCATGGATCAGAAACATGGCCTCTACGCGCAAAGCACGTACGAAAGCTGTCGGTGTTTGACCACCGGTGTCTCCGAAGCAGTGGTCGGGTCTTGTGAAAGCATCGTATCAGCACTGTTGATGTAAGTCAGATGACTTTAGGAATGAGGAACTCTTCCACGATAGGTGAATTACTCATGCTTCACATGTTACTCTGACTAGGACATATACTCCACATGCCAGAGGACCGCCTGCCTCACAGATTTCCCTTCGCCCAACGCTGTGCCGAGTGATAGCGACCGAAATGTAGATAGTGCATGACCTGGCAACGAACTGACCAGCGAACTGGGTCAGCTTGACAATTGTCAGCTCCCGAGATAAATCACCAGTGGCTAATGACACTGACAGAAATGACAGTCGCGCATTCAGTGGCATTCTTGTATCCATTCTGTCGCCTTCAATGCGTAGCTTACTAAGTTTTCGAGCTTAGACATGTCATGGCGGTCTCCCACGGTCCCATGTTCCAGTGACTGAACGTGTACCACCTACAACCAACAAACCCTTGGTACACGGTTTATAGCTGATAAGCTGAACTGAACTGAACAAAGCTGCACGTAGTGAGGTTTTCTTGGGTCGTTGCGGGGACAGGGGGAGTACAACCGAACTAGGTACACAGGGTTGTCAAGCTACACGAAGAAAGTGTGAGGGCTGGGATAGTACCAGGTTCTCAAAGCCTAGACACAAGCGGTTTAGATGCGGTTTTGTTCGAATCACGGACTTTCCGGTTCGCATCTTAGCCACTCACCTATCTCGAGCTCCAGTACACAGGGCCTAAAACATAGATGTCTCACTCCTGACACTACTGCGCAAAGTGGGTCGCATCGGGTTATATTAAATATAGCACGACTGTGCTGTGTGATTCGCCGGTGGTCACGGTCAATCGTTGGACGATTAAGGTATAGTTTTAGGGCCGACCTTTTCTACCTCCCCCCTCCTTGTTGGAAGGCAGCGTCGCTGCTCCTATAAATAGGGACATGCTGGTCATTCTTGGAGAGCGCCTTACTGTCTTCACACACCCATCCCTGGGAACAGTACTTTACTTTTAGACCGCCTCATGTTATGGTAATTCGAAGCTCGCCTCTCTTCATCTGGCCACACCGCTTTGGATTTCTCGGCATGATTGCTCCCTATGGATGGGTGTTCTAGGCAGTTTTGCCCGCGAGGTCATTACAGCAACTAAGCCTAATCACCATGGTAAGGTGGCTTGTATTGATCGGTACCCATATGAATTAGCTTCCGGTCGCCCTGATCAGTGAAGAACTGTAAGCCATACAGGAGCGCTTATCTGAACTCTGGCCATGCCTTGGTACGTGAAAATGTCTGTTCGTTTGATTGGACGAGGCAAACTTCACACTAGGTGCATGGACCTACCAGGGCTAACAGACAGAGGTACTACATATGTATCAAAATAGGCTCACTTCTACACGCGCTGTGCGTTTTAAGAAGGGTTGTATAATCCATGGGTCGCGCTTCTGAGGCACTGAACCCAGCCAGTGCCTCGGAGTTCGACTTCAGTCATGAAAACAATAGTCACTGGATAGCCGTTCGTCCGGTGAAACTGTTCAACAACCGAATAAACCCTCCTAATCACTGTCACGATCAGATGCGTAGACAAATCAAGCTGGAATCTACTGCCTCCTTCTCCTAAGCTAGACTGCGAGTCACAGCAATCCTAGTGGAAATCACAAACCTCTCTGTATATAACTGAAAACTCTTACAACTCTTCAGGGTGATCTATCCAAAACATTAGAACGAGTCAGGTCATCGTGGAAGAGTTCACTGATCCAAATGCGGGTATATTACAACGAATTGAACAATGAACCGAATACTTCGAATGACAGCTGAATGGGCCGAATGTATACTTATCCACATCTCTAAACCGTACTTCGTCAGGGGATGTGAGCATGTAATCTTCTGCATCCGAAATCTCCCGGGAAATTCAATAACTGGAACTACGAGGCTCTGGGCCTAAACAGCCTTTTCCCCAGCTTATTAAAGTTGAAGACCCACGCTAGTAGAGGATTCGGTCTCACTGTTGAGGAAAATCTGGACAGTCGATGTTAAGAAGGATTCAGATGATGCTACAAGTACGGTCAACACAGACGTTACTCTTCCATAACTGACCAGTACTGTCGAACAGCATCCCTGTGGAGAACAAGCCGAATTTCGGGCTATTCGAATGACATCGGTCGGTTCTTCACCCTAATGCAGCTGCCGGAACTACGAAATGAGCACCGCGTACCGACCGTCCTGACTTTTCTGGATATCGAGAGCGCGTTTGGTGCTGTGCTGTGGTATTTCATTGCAAGCAACGCGCCGATTCGTATATACAGTCCAAAACCTGTGGTTAACTTACTTCACATTCCGAAATTTCAAACGAAATCAGACATTACCTTTATTCTTGTTCGACTTTGCGATTGTAGATGTTTTCAAGAGCGCAACGAAAACTGAAGCGAATAATGGCGTCCAATTGCCTCTAGGAGTAACCGCTCACAGACTCGTAACACGCGAACACAGCAGCCGATGCCTGCAATTCTTAGCTTGGAGCATAAAACACCCTAGATCAGATCATTATGGCTGACCGCCGTTTTCGACTCAGCCCAGTTCCGCAGAAGCGTGAATGGACATTGACTGGGCATCTCCTACACCAACTCTCAATGTAGATAATGACATTCGCAACATCGTGAAGCAATTTTTTTGCCTAAAAAGCTGCTGTAACACCAGTGGCCGGAACAATCCGACTCCTAGCCGAGCTGTCAATGTCTGGACAGCTCTCACTAATTTCCATCGCCTGTCGCAAGGACTAGGCACCAGGCGGAACTTCACGCGTCCAATGCCTCCGTACTTGTCCTACTCCTGTGCCAGTGCGAACCACGGTTGTCCAAGAGGTGTTTGTTGGAGAACTAACATCTTCTGATCACCAATGTCCCCGAAGCATTGGCAGAAACGCGTCAACGACGATGAAGCTCGGCATCGGGTATCCCTAATGACCAAACAACTGCATCCTCACAACTATATCACGAGAACAAATTGCACTGGACCGATCAAGCCCCATTTACGTCGGCAAGCTTTCTTAGCGCGCGCTGGTTCTATCTGGAAACGAGTGGCTAATGGTCAGAGGCAAACTTGTGGGAAAGACACGAAAGTCCGTTCACCGGTGCTCAGTCCAGTCGAACCAACAAAACTTTAGGGATGGGGTCCAAAGGCCAATTAATGCATCTCACTGTAGACCATCTTTGAAAATACCAATGATCATTGACGTGAGAGTCGTCGTCGTCTTTTGTCATATTGTACAGTTCTAACAGGATCTACCTCTGGCCACATCGGTCACCGATGTCGAATCATATACTAGTGCATGAATCCCGGCAAACCACTTCGGAGCCATTCAGTGGGAGTCTACGATAGCTCAGTAGTTAAGGTGCTGACTACTGGACATTTGGGCGCCACCTCGGCCTTCTTGCTTCCTTCGGAGTGCATAGTAGCCATAAAAATAGAAAGTGCTAAATATAAGCGATTTGGCCCGAATAAATACCACAGCTGAAGCATGAGGCAGCTCCACGACCTACGAATATGGAATCTACGTCTTCGGCTGAAATTACCATGGAAATGCTGCAAATGAAGAACAACTCCGTGGAAACCCCACACCTATCCACCAACCAAACTGGTACCAGACGATGTGTGACATGCAAACTCAGTCTTAAAGTCCAAGGGGTTATGGAGTTGCACAAACCATAACACCATGAAAAGGTGAGGTAAGATAACGGCGAGGTATCACTCCGAGTGGCTGGAAAAACCTAGACAGCTTTGACGCCGTTTCCTCGCTCACATCGAAGCGAAGGGACAATGGACCCAGACTATGCGGTAACCTCGTACGGGAACGCCGGAAGAATGACCACTGTTCATGTCATTCCTAGTGAAAGCGTCCCAACGGTATATTGGTCCTGTGACAAGGATTTAATTCCAAGAATACTGCGACCATGCTTCACTAGACTTATTGCTTATGGTCAGGATAAAACCGGTAGCTACTGGTTTGTTTGCTGGTTAAATTTTTCAGTCGATTGTGTGATACAACACGCACGGCTGAAGCACCTCCCCTTGTCTAAACACAGGCGACTACGAGGCAAATCCAACATTAGAAGTCAGGAGTTCGCACTATCGCATAACTCAAGCTGACTGAAGAAGTGACAAGGATCTCGAAAGCACATGTGTTTGCTGAGCTTCGGCGTAGCTAGTAAGCTTGGTTGATCAAAAAGAGGCGCAGTATCGCGTTACCTACATGCCCACTGAGAGTTGTCAGCTTAAGAACGAAGACATGCAAATCGGCAAAATGGCATGAGCCAGTGGTTTGCAAAACGCTTACCTTCCTAGATTCCTCATACGAATTCGTGCTTCCTCGGGGATTTCCTCTTCGTCACTCTAGAGCAAATAGACAGCTAAGACAACAGCTTACTTCTTCATCAGGGTTGAATACGGCTTTCACCTTTGAATTCAATTCAACAGCAGGCTCTGAGCGCTTGGGCTATGAAACTGCAAGTAAGGCTCAGCGGACAAACCTGTTGGGGTAGGCTAATCTTTATTGGAGTGACAGATTTTGGGTTTTGAGGTGGCTTCCCGTCAGAAACCTTGATGCAGATCTTTGGAGGAGGTTCTGTTGGAGTTTGTTCAGTATTCTTTCTCTTGTTAGGTTCTGGCACTGGAGAAATACACTAATAAAGCACAGAAAGCCTACCAGCTGACATCCCAGGAAGACGAACACCCGCCTCGAACTTCAGTTCAGGTTAGGAAGTGTCCCCAGTCGCTCAGAGCGGTATCATGTATGTTCATATCCTAGAGGATGGGCAGGAAGAGAATGTCTGAGTAACATTGTCTGATGTGCAAGCCGTAGTCAACCAGGTCACCGACGTTCGCTGACCAAATTTCTGAGCTGCAAGTCCAGTAGTTATGATGCAGGAGTTGTGTCGTGCACGGGTCTGGTGAGTGCTTGAAGGTGTTGCAGGGGCCGACGTTTTCACATGCGAGTACAATAGCTCGTGAACGCCAACGTGTTGTTCATGTTTACTGATCTACCAAGTTCGGGTCACTGCCTGGATATATTTACAAATTCCGAGCTTCGCCTTACTCCTTGCTAGCGGCAAGAGTTCGCACAATGCAGCGCGATTCGTATGCAGTGTAAGCGACACATAGCAGTCAGCAAACACGCCAAGTGCTCGCTGTGCAAAATTCAGTTGGACAAACCACAATTTCAAATCCCCATGCTGAATGTGTGAATGTAGAATAAACGATTTGCCACCCACAGATTGGGAATAAACATTATTATTATTATTAACTCTGATGTAGCGAGAGGGATGTGTTCTCCGAGGGCGGTTTGCTGAATGTCAAATAATAGATAAAACCAACTTCACAAAGCAATCACTGGGTCGAGAAAAACGCGCTACGCACACACATACAAAATTAGACAGTGGCAGTAGTATTGTATGTGGAGTGCGCGGGTTATACCTTCGCTCACCAACGAAAGACACTCCATTGATCAGGTAACAATCAATGCTCCACTGGGACATAGCGACCAATGTGTGGTAACCTTTGATTTCGTCTGCTATTGGGACAGAAATTCCTAACCTCAAATGTGGCTTCGAGACTTCTGCCATGCATACTCCTCAGGAATGCACATCTTTCTTGAACAAGTCACATTGGGACAGAAACGCGGTACCCACAAGTGACACACCAGTGGTATCCGATGTTAACAAAGAACACTATGCGTGTCTATACTCAGCCCCAGCGTCCTCGTCACATCCACTCTTGTCAAGGCAAAACTACAAACAGCCTCTAACCGACTTGGTCTTCACGGTGGACATTCGTCAACTCTTGCATCAGATCAACCCATTCTGCGCGTTGGGGCCCGACGAGGTCCATCCAAGGATCCCGAAAGAAAAGTCCTCCACACTAGCAAATCATTTACACCTGGTGTTTCGTCGCTTGCTGGACGAAGGCCACCTTCTACCTGCTTGGAAGAAAGCGATTGTCACGCCAATCTACAAGCCTGGTGACCGACTGTTGCCTGGCAGCTACAGGCCTATAAGCCTCACTAGCGTGCCGTGCAAGGTGATGGAAGGCATTATGAAACGAGCTATCCCAGACCACCTTACTTCCAGCAACCTGATATCTCCAGCTCAACACGGATTTCTCCCAAACCGCTCTTGCGTGACGAACATGCTCTTTTTTATGGACAGCTTAACACAANGGGAAATCAGTTAGGTTCTTATGTGTACACCTTGAAAAGTCTGCAGACTGGATATTAAAATAATGCGTTTAAGCTGCTCCACAAACTCGAGTCTTACGGGATTCAAGGAAAAATCCTTCGCTGGATCAAGGCGTTCCTATCAGACAGATCATTCCGTGTGAGAATAGGCTCGACCTACTGCTCTCCAGCGCCGGTCTCCATTGGAGTTCCTCAAGGATCTGTCCTGGGACCACTGCTGTTTCTGATCCACGTCAACGACCTCCCAGACGTTCTTGCGAGTCCATGTTTACTTTTTGCGAACGACTTGAAATCCTGGAGTTCCAACGCAAGTGCCTCCCAAATGGATGTGGATGCTGCCGAGCCGTGGTCGTTGGACTGGCACCTTCCTCTGAATGACGAAAAGTGCGTGCATATGTCATTTGCAGGAGACTCTCAGCGAATGCCTTTGTTATGCATGGTGAAAAGGGACCAGAAAACATCATGAGGATAGATGCCAAAAAAGATTTGGGCATCTGGGTCTCCTCAAACTTATCCTTCTCACTGCACCATGAGAAATCGGCCCAAAAGGCATTCGCCAATCCATGGTGATTCGACGCACCTTCTCCCGTATCACTCACAGGGACTTCCAAATACTGTATGAGGCCTACCTCAGACCGCTCCTGGAATACGCCAACCAAGTTGTCTACTCAGGACGCTCGAAAGACGTCACCCTCATTGAGCGTGTCCAGCAAGCCGCCACGAGAATGTTTGCCGGCCTCAAATCCGTGGACTACGGAACGCGTCTCACGATGCTTGATCTCTTTCCCTGGAGTAACGTCGCCTCCGTGGAGACCAAATTCTTACTTATGCCCTGTTTGAACGAAGCTTCGCAGACAGGTTTTTCACCGTTAACCCAGCAAACACATGGCCGGGACATGGCAGGATTTTCAAGCTCAGAGCGCATAAATTCATTAGACAAATTTTTTCTCATTTCGGGTAGCAGGTGCGTGGAATGACCTTCCCCCGACGGTTGTACACGCTCCTTCTTGAACCCAGTTTAAAACACTATTGGACATTTATCTACGCGAATCCTCCCACTGGCGAGCACGCTGCCTCGCGTTGAGAACACAAAGAGCAGTGCTACACCCTCTTTTCACTTGTGCCTTTCAGGTGAACGACAGCCACTGACCGACAAGAACAAAAGCGATTCGGGAAACTTGGACAAAAGCCCCTATCCTATGTGTGAATTTGTGAATCCGTGATGTTTGATCCAGATTGGCTGATGTTTCGACCGTGAACCACTGTTCACTCCGGGCGTCGTTGCTATCACAAGTTTACATCTATAATCTTAAAGGATTTTCGGTTCGCTGGCAGTTGCTTCCCGATTAATTCCATCGGTAAGCGGTCATCCAGACGTTGATCAACTTATTAAATTCTGTCGCGCGTTTAGATTTCTTTTGGAATACCTCAATTCTCAGCCTATCCTTGATGGCAGTTCTGGATTCTGAGTCAATCACCAGAGGCTCAAGAATGCTGCGTACTTCTTCTAAGTGAAGGACTTTTTGATCCATACCCATGCCCCGGATATACACAGTCACCGTTAGGGTACCCGTGCATCCGAAATCACTCACTCCGCTTCTGAGGGATGAATTATTCTGGTCGGATGTAGTGGTGCCTACGGCAATTCCTGTGGGTCAATCCAAGTGCTTCGAAATGAGAGCTGTTCCTAATGGGTCTCTGTCAGGGTGCGCCCAGACAGAACAAAAAGTACATGTGCAGAGAGTGACGCATCCCCAAGGTCACCATCGGTTCGGCACGTCCGGAGAGTAGGTGAGTTGGCGGCTCCCACGAAACACGGCTCTCGCCAAACGACTTAGCAAAACACGACCAGCGTAGTGGGCCTGAGAATGTTCACGACCGGAACACCACCATTGGCTGTACGGAACGAACAAGTGAACGACCATTTTCGGCCAATTAGTCATCCTATATATGTATTTACGCAGACGCTCTGTATGTTTTGTCCTGGCAACACAGCCGTGTCCCCAGTTATCTGTCTTCTCCCTATCGCGTAGTCTGGCAGGCGCAGTACAGACGTAACCCCAATAACTCGGCCGCCGCACAATACAACAGTCTCCTAGGGTTCAATCGACAAACACGTTCCGTGCGATACAACTGCTCTTCAATGATGAGGTTTGCAGGCCAGAATTACTCCACGGGGCTAACTGAATCAAATTTGCGGGCTTCGGGAGATAGCTTAGGAGGCGTGCGTACAGACCCGCTCAGTGTAAAACATCAGCTATTAAGGATTACGAGACTGAGTTTTGCTTTGGAATTCGAGGAGATGTTTGGTAAGACGTTTTTTGACGAAAGTGCTGACACTCAATAGATCCTCCGTTGAGGTCCCTGATGCGAAAATTTAAGTAACGTGTAGGTTCGACGATCCCTAATATCAAAGGATTGGGTTAAGAGGTCCACACTAATATTTACACAAGGGTTAGCATTTTTATACAATAGACAAATTGTACACGTTCGTTGCGTCAATGAATGAGGAAGTTTGTCACTGACGGGCACGGTGCAGTGTCAAAAAGGGCTCCATGGACGCACAATGCTCCTAGCTGCAAAACCTCTGAGGGTGGAATAAAATTTTACTCCAAAATATTGTATCTTGCTGCGTATATGCTCAAACCACCCAAATCTACGTTTATACTTTCGCAGCTCAACGAATTTCGTCTTCCACTGAGATCACCATATCTCTGACGGAAAAATTCTGGTGGAATATATTCCTAGCGTCCCTGGAACGTTGGGATGCCTAGGAGGGGTTCAAAATTTTGGACTGGTATTCTGGATTTAATTGCCTGTCTGTTTTAGTACATAACGGACTCGTCGTAGCATTCAAAAATTCAATTTCGTTGTGCGAATACTGAGCGCCACTTGGTACTCACCACTTTATCCCCCTGAACAAACCGCAAGCCGAAGAAATACATTTTTTAGAACGAATTTTACTGCTTTGTAATAAACTGCAAAAGATTTTGAAAACTACGTTTCAAAGCTCCACAAGCCAAATATGTAAGATTTATGTGTATTACGCTGAGACATTATCGAAAACGGAGTAACTTTGATTATATGGCACATTTAAATAAGTTTGCAAAAATTCTCAGAGAGCCTACTACTTCTCCAATCCTTATTTGCTGTCCCTTGGTAGACGAAGTCTCGTAGTTTTCTTCAGTTTAGCGTCCCAGTTTAACGGCAAATTGAATACAGTCAAGAGACTGTAGCACTTATAAACTGCTCTTTTTCATGCTCAGTATCATCTTCTTTTTTCCCATCATTATCAGTCACATCGCTGTACAAAAGTTTGTTTTACTAAAATACAACCGCTACCGCCCGCGCGTTGGCTCCAACGTGACTTTGAGACTTCTGCTGAGTGACTGTTGTTGTGACCGCCGGTTAGCTATATCTGACCGCTGCTAATACTAAACGTGAACAAACATTTCAGCTACAAACGCTGGACTAATATATTCACGCTTGTGGAATAATATTTCGATCACCGGAGATCTGGGATACCAAGAAGATAGAACTATTCTTTGTGTGGTGGTTCAACGGAATACGGAACTACGGAATCTCCTATTTTGAACTGTGAGTCAAGATTTACTTGTATTTTTCTCTTTGTGACTCTGTATCTGGCTTACACCAGTAATTTGTTCAGTTCACTAGAGACTCCATAGGGCCGTTAACCACTACAAGACTACGCTCATTTCAAAATTAGACTGGTTTTAAAGGGAACCTCAGCTGAAATCCAATTGAATATCTCATTTTGTGTCGCAAAAATATACATGGATATCTCGGATATCGTATCAACTGAAACGCGGAGCGATTATTGTTTACCATTCGTAGCCAGAAATGTCACAGATGAGAGATCCAGCATGGATTCACCTGAACCCTAATGAAACGAACCGATGTTGGAAATGAGTCTGTTTCGACGAACTTCTCCATTGTATTGCTATACCTCTCCCTCACTCTGACTTACTGCTGATAGAGTGCGTGCGTGAATGGAAGCATAAGAAATCACGGGAGTTAGTTAGAAAATTCCACACAGTTCTGAAGTGATTTCTGCCTGCCCAAGCAGTAAAACTGATGTCAACCAATTAGAGTGGGGAGCTTTCACTAATGTGTTTGGGGTTTCGGGTGATAAGCTCACTTCCACGTAGAAAAACTCCTCGCAACTGACTAAATTTCCACCAGTGGCTACAAAATTTTGCTAGTAAGTACCGTAGACACGAAGTTAGGAGTTTTTCGTCAAATTTGCGCTGGGCTGCAGGATACAGCTTACTTGATTATGCCAAATAAGCAGTGTTGACCACCAGTGAATGATTTAGGCATCCGACACGATTTTTCTGGTCCTGTGTTCTAGTGCTTTGTGAACAGCAA